ATCGGAAGCCAGTGGAGGGAATGACAGAGGGGGGGGGGGGGGTGGCGGATACAGAGTGGTTGGTAAGGTGGATGAGTCTGGCTGCTGAGTTCAGGATAGACTGAAGTGGGGATAGTCTGTGATGAGGTAGGCCCGTGAGGAGGGAGATGCAGTAGTCGAGTCGTGAGATAATAAGGGAGGGAACGAGTTGTTTAGTAGTGTCTGGGGTTAGGAACGTACGTATTTTGGAGATGTTTGCGAAGGTGGAGCCTGCATGAGTTTGCCAATGATTGGATATGGGGTTGGAAGGACAGGTTTGAGTCTAGAGTGACACCTAGGACTTTGGCTTGCGGGGTGGGACTGGTGGCGTTGTTGGTCGTGATGGAGAGGGTGGGGGGGCACGGACTGGGGGGAAAATTAGGAGCTCGGTTTTGGAAAGGTTTAATTTGAGGAAGTGGAGTGACATCTAGTCTGATATGTCGTTCAGTAGGCAGATGATTCGGGCGGAGACTGAAGGGGTGAGGCGAGGGGTAGAGAGGTAGATTTGCGTGTCATCGGTGTAGAGGTGGTAGTTGAAGCCGTTTCATGAACTTGTTTTGATCAGCCCATGCAACTAATCGGCTGAACGAAAAAAAATGAATCATGTATGGTCAGTTTTAATGGGAATCCCACTGTATGTGGTCTCTGTTATAGGACACCACGCTTCCTTCTTCCCTCACATCCCTCAGCTGCAGCTTCATAAGCCTAGTACACAGTAAATCGGACAAACGATCGTCTGATTTTCCACGAAGGTGCGTATCATGATGTAACCAACAAGAGTATTAACTTGTGCGAAAATTCTCAACCAACAAAGGCAAACATAGCTATGTATTAGCATAGTAGAAAAGGAAGTATAGGGTTGTTCTTTGCTTCTGATCATGCATGTTTTTTTCTATTCGATTATTTACGTACAATTACTGTTAAAAGAAAATCAGATGCTGTGTTCATGTGCAATAAAAATTTTCTAGCTTGCACCTTTTGTGTTTTGTCATCCAAAAAGTCAGAATCGGCTGTCAAAAGCACTGTACTAACGATCAGATAATCAAGCGATCGTTCCTTGCATGGAAATTTTCCTACGATTTTATAATTGTGTGTGTGGGCCAATAGACCCGTATTAAAGCTAAAGTCAACCATACATGGTTAGAATCTCATTTGAATGTTCATAGAAACATCGTTCTTTAGAACATTTTTTCTTGCCATCATTAAGTCAACTAATTTAATCCGAAAGCCCTTTAAATTTCATCTGTACCTGTTTTAATGGAATCCCAGACATATTAAACAGGTTTCATTACAATATGTATGATATTTCCCAAATGAAAACCACATTCACGGTTAGAATTTTGTTTGCTCAAGACAAAGAATTTCCATCCCACTCCTTTGAATTTTTCTCATCACTACAGTCAAAAACTAAAGTTGATTTGACCCTAATAACCATTAGAAAATTGCGCCTTCAGAAAACAAAAATTTTGATACAAAATTCTAGTGATGTATGACCAGCTTTAGTCTTTAAATATTTTTCACACTTATAACACACGTAATAGGATATTACAAATGTAAACACATTTTTGGTGCCCTTCCAGAAAAAAAATTAAACCTCCTAGATTGTAAACTCCGAGGAGCAGGGCCCTCCTAACCCTCTTGTATTGAACTGTATTGTTGCTGTATTGTCTCCCGTTATATTGTAAAGTGCTGAGCAAATTGTTGGTGCTATATAATCCTGTATAATAATAATAATAAACCTCCACAAACCGTTCACAAAAGGCAATCAGGAGCAATGTTTGTATGAAGTACCAATTAAGGATGGTGTATAAACCAGCAAACAATTGAATATAGATACCACAGTTGTAGTAAAAGTATAAACTAATTGCTCTTCTACACCTCAAAAGGAGTTCAGCAAAGGCACCAATCTGGTTCAGCTTGTATATCTTTGGACGTTTTCCTTGGCTCTTTGCTATTTTCACTATCCTTCTGTTCAATCTGGGATCAATTTTTCCTCTTGTAGCCACATCCAGGGAGATTGGCTATAGTCCCATGAACATACACCAACAGATTTCTTTAATTTAGCCTGAAAGGAAATGTAACAAATCCCTCAATCAACACTAAAGCCTAGAACTCAGGATGAGAGTATCGGACGAATGACCATCCATTTTTTCTTTTTCATGCTAATCTCATATTGAAAACAAATAGTTTACTAGGATACTTTCTGAGCATGCACAGTCTTGGTCACTCGATTTTTTACAAATACTGTACTGATTAAACAAAAATTGTTTGTTCTGTTATCGTAGAAGAAAACGTTTCGGTGTTGTCCCTTTAGGTAATTTCCCATGACCTTTCATGATTGGCTCTCGAAAGCTGTGTACTAACTATGAGATTATTAGACAATCGCTCCGAAAGTGATATTTTGCACCCGATTTTCTCATTGTGTGTACTAGGCATAAGGTTGGCCATGCATGAATCAAAATTTAGCTGGCTAGGGAACAATTTCAATCCATGTTTGGCCATTTCTGTTCATGAAAACTAAATTTATCGATTGACTTCTCATGAACTAACTTGTTGATACATTTTTGCTCTGTCAGGAAATTGGCTGCAGCACTGAATAATGTATTCTGACAGCAGGGGAGTCCCACTGTCAGAATACAATGTCACAGCAGGGAGGATTCTTGCATCCACATCGAATGTGTGGATGGGGGAATTGGTAGTTTTATTTTTTTTTTTTTTTTCGTTCAGCCAGCAGTACCATGTATGGCAAGCTTAACAGTGGTACTGCCCACTATCAGAATACCCTAACAATGTTGCATCTGAATGGATGCAGGTGCTGTTCGACTGACAACTGTTGTCACTAGAACAAGTGGCAGCATTGGAAGATTCCTGTTCAATTCCTGCTCAGGGGACAACCCAAAATGTGGTATTTTCCTTCACTGTCACTCTCGGTGATAACGGTAAACAGGTCAAATAGAGAGGGTGATTCTCTTTAACAGGGGCATAGACAGCTATACAAATGTGATGGGTGTTGTAATCCCTCTACACACTATCAAATTATTAAAAAAAAAAAGTTTTGCCTTTAGTTACAGTTTAAGTTCATCACTTTTCAGGAGGAATTAAGTATTGTTTCAATGAGCTGTAAAGGTACCAACAAATTTGGTATTTAAGTATTGATACCAATCCAACACTGTCTTGGTTGTAGCCCTGCTCTTCTCTCTTCCTGGACTCAAACAACACTCTAAGAGCAGCAGGAACCATAGGCTCCTGCTGTTGTCAGTCAAACGTCTGTGAGGAGGGAGAGAGGGTGTGGCTTGCTGGCAATGTGTGTGTCTATGGATGCACACAAGACAAGGTTGGGAGCGTGTCTGCACTGGTGACCCTTTAGCACCTGGCTTGCTGAGGGGGTACTTAGAAGAAGAAAGAGGTAAGGAATACAAAGGTATACTGCAGCCTGCATTTTATGAATGGGAAATTATATAAAGTAACTAGGAAGAAGAAAGAAGAAGGTAACTTGTAAGAACTTAGAAGAAGAAAGTGGAGGTAAGGGACTGCCCTGTGCAATATCATTGCACAACATAGGGAAATAAAACATCTTTTTATTAAATAATAATATTAATTAACCTTTAGATTAATTTAAAAGGGTTAATTCATATATATGGCCTTGCCGGGGCATGCTATACAAATATGTACTGCTGCCTGCATTTTATGAATGGGCAATAATATGAAGTAACCATGTAGAGCATGGGTGTCAAACTGGCGGCCCTCCAACTGTTGCAAAACTACAATTCCCATGAGGCATTGTAAGATTGACAGTTACAAGCATGACTCCCAAAGGCAGAGGCATGATGGGACTTGTAGTTTCGCAACAGCTGGAGGGCCGCCAGTTTGACACCCTGATGTAGAGTATAATGGACAGTGGATGGTGATATGTTTTAAATGAGCCCCTTAGTTTTTTAGCGCACCACATACTAAAAACAAACACTTGTTTTCACCTTTTTTTCATTCTCTCAGTACTGCTGACCTCCTGCAGCCTCTTTGCAGCCCCTTCCTGCCTGCATGCATGCACTCCAGTGATGGCTATATAGCATTTCTCAGAGTGGACTTTGTAATTGTGACAACAGTGGCTCATGCATGTATTAAAACAGCTGCTGGTTGTCTCCATCGGAAGCCGATGTGAAAAGGCGAAATAGAGCAGCCTTTTTTAACCAGGGTGCCTTGAGGTTCCTTCAGGGGTGCTTTGGCAAAATACCTTAAAATTGCCCAAAAATTGCATTCAAGCTAGTGGGTGGATCAAGCCTGCTTTTTAGTTACACAAAGCCACAAGTTTATTGTGCAACATTGCAGCCACTGGCGTCCTACCAACCAATGATGCAGCAAAGGAGGATGTTGGGACCTGCACAGCATCTTTGTTTGCTCCTCCGCTGCCCCCCTCCATCGGCACTGAGGTAACATTAGCTGAGTGAGAGAGAGAAACATTAGAATACTAGTCAGTACCAGTGTCAAAGGTGTATTTGCTTTGGAAAAATAAATCATTAAGAATAAATCATCTCTAATATTGGGTGTTATATTAGTATAGTTTTTCACATTTTACAATGGGGTGCTTTGAGAATGTGCATAATTTTAAAGGGTGCCTTGACTGAAAAAAGGAGAAACACTGAAATAGAGGAGCCACGTGTCTTCGAAATGTGCATCACTGATTGCAGTTTTCAGTAAAAAAGATCTGGGCTTTCTTCACGCTGATTCTCTAACAGTGCCACTGCTGGCTGTGAACCAAGGAACTTTGGAGGCATTAGGTCTGCGTAGGTAATGGATACATCTTTTTGTTAGGGTGACAGTGCAGGGACATAGTTTGGAGACAGGGACCATGCATTGTCACCCTATAACCGGAAGTACCTGGACAAGAACCTTCATGGCAGGATCACTTAGCAATAATTGAAAGCAGCAGATTTAAAAATATATAAACCAACTTTTGAAATTCTGATATACCTTAACTGCTTAAAGACTGCCCTATATCTAATATACTGCTACAGGGCGGCACCTGTGCGCAAAACCACATATATATACACGTGATTTTGCATTTGCGGGTAAAAAATGGGGGCACGCACCCGAGCAGTGCGCGCCCCCTACCCGCATCGCCATTCGGTGCCGCGGATGTCAATCACCGTGTCCTGGTCGGTAATTACCTGCTGGCGCCCTGTGATTACCGAGCATCTCTGACGGGGAGGAAGATTGTTTTGTTTACAATCTTTCTCCCTGTCAGCTCGAGCACACTGCTCGGGATGGCTATGCACAGTACAGCCATCCCGATCAGTGTGCTTACAGTGAAGAACACACCCCCGCCCCCTAGTAAAACACCCACAGCACACAGTTAACCCTTTCATCACCCCTCACATTAACCCCTTCCTGTCCAGTGCCATTAGCACAGTGTTAGTGGGTTGTTTTTTTTTTTGGCACTGATCACCCCCAGTGTCAGAATGTCTGCAGCAGTCCCGCTAATAGTTGCTGATCGCCACCATTACTAGTAGAAAAAAAAATCCCATTATTTATACCGCCATTTGTAAATGCTATAACTTTCACGTAAACCAATTAATTTACACGTATTGGGATTTTTTTTGTTCTTTTTTTAGCACTGATCACTGTATTGGTGTCACTGGAGATGTCAGTGACACCAAGTTAGTTCCCCCCCAGTGTCAGAATGTCTGCCGCAGTCCCGCTAAAAGTCGCTGATCGCCACCATTACTAGTAGAAAAAAAAAATCCCATTATTTATACCGCCATTTGTAAATGCTATAACGTTCACATAAACCAATTAATTTACACATATTGGGATTTTGTTTAAGCATAGATATATAGCAGAATACATTTTGGCCTAAATTTATGACGAAATTTGATTTTATAATTTTTTTACTGGACATGTTTAACCTCCCTGGCGGTATGATTATTTCAGATTTTTGGTGCTGAAAGCGGTACCATTTTTTTGCATGGAAATATGTATTTTTTTTATTGTAGGCTGTAATTTTTAGGAAAAAACTCACTGAAATCTGTCCGAACAAGAGTCTAGTAAACATCCCGGGTATGATAAAATTTGAAACACAAAATCATAAATTATAATTTAATAAATAATCATAAAAATAATATAAAAATAATAAAAAATTTAATTCAATAATATAATCAAACCAAAAACACTGAAATGTGAAATAGAGCGCCAAGTTCGCACATTGCTGAGCTCAGTCGCAAAATCGTTTTCAGTTTCTGATGACGAATTTCCCCCACGAATCATTATCACTCAATTCTGTAAGTGGTTCTGATTTACTATCGCTGTTCTCTAGCTGATCTAAACCGCTTTTGACCTAAAGGGACACTTTTTGGACGCCATGGACATTTCTCAGTTTCCAGGCAGAAAGAACAGACAAAATGCAGGCAGGGCCCAGGACAAAGTACTAGGGACAATATGTATGTGAAATAGGTTGAAACAGCAATGTTTTACTGTGTAAAATGAAAAAAAAAAAAAAAAAATGACATTTTTTAAAATTTTAAAATTTCCCGCCGTCGGCGGCGTCAGCGCCCGTACGTCCCGACGTCACAGGGACAGGACACAGAAGCCGGATGCCGGCATCGGCCGGAGGAGATGGCCGGGGACGCTGCAGGGGACACATCGTGGGAGCGCAGGGTAAGGTAAGTGAAGAACACATACCGGAGCAGCGCCGCATGGTATTCCCGAGTGTAGCTCGGGGTTACCGCTTTTGGTACTGAAATGTTACCCCGAGCTACACTCGGGAATACCGCCAGGGGAGGTTAATAGCAAAAAGTCCAAAATATAGTTTTTTTCTCAAATTTTCTTATAGTGCAAAAAAATTAAAAACCGCACAGGTGATCAAATACCACCAAAAGAAAGCTCAATTCGTGGGGAAAAAAAGGGCGTAAATTTCATTTGGGTGCAGTGTTGCATGACCGTGCAATTGTCAGTTAAAGTAACGTAGTGCCGTAACTCATAAAATGGCCTGGTCAGGAAGGGGGTAAATCCTCTGGAGGGCAAGTAGTTAAAATCCAGTAATACACTGTCTCACTCTTGTCTGCACATGTTCAGTTGCTCTCTATTTTTTGGCACTGTGTCTAAAATGTAGAGGTCGATCTGCTGACAACCTAAAAATTTACTGCTGCTCAGGGGCTCTAGGCTTTATAAAAAATGACAGTCTCCAGCAAGAAGAAACAAGAACAATGCTGGAGGCAATATACATCACACACATAGTTTGGTAGCATAATTAACCGCTTCCCGACTGCACTGTAGCAGAACTACTGCTACAGGGCAGCAGGGCTACTCAAAATCATATATATATACAGTGGGGATCAAAAGTTTGGGCACCCCAGCTAAAAATTTGTATTAATGTGCATAAAGAAGCCAAGGAAAGATGGAAAAATCTCCAAAATTACAGATTAGACATTCTTATAATATGTCAACAAAAGTTAGATTTTATTTCCATCATTTACACTTTCAAAATAACAGAAAACCAAAAAATGGCGTCTGCAAAAGTTTGGGCACCCTGCAGAGTTAATATCTTGTACTGCCCCCTTTGGCAAGTATCACAGCTTGTAAAAACGCTTTTTGTAGCCAGCCAAGAGTCTTTCAATTCTTGTTTGAGGTATCTTTGCCCATTCTTCCTTACAAAAGTCTTCCAGTTCTTTGAGATTTCTGGGCTGTCTGTCACGCACTGCTCTTTTAAGGTCTATCCATAGATTTTCAATTATGTTGAGGTCAGGAGATTGTGAAGGCCATGGCAAAACCTTCAGTTTACGCCTCTTGATGTAATCCCCTGTGGATTTCGAGGTGTGTTTAGGATCATTATCCATTTTTAGAAGCCATCCTCTCTTTAACTTCAGCTTTTTCACAGATGGCATCAAGTTACCATCCAAAATTTGCTGAAATTTGCTGAAATTTTATTGAATCCATTTTTCCTTCTACTCGTGAGATGTTCCCTGTGTTCCCTGTGCCACTGGCTGCAACACAACCCCAAAGCATGATTGATCCAACCCCATGCGTGGATAAAGTGTAACTAAAGGCAAAACTTTGTTTTCATTTAGGATAGAGTAATAAAAGGTTATAACCTTCGTAAAGGTTTTTTTACCACCTGTGTCTCATTGGGCAGATTTCACTTCCTGTCCCATTGCCAAACAAGAATTGAGGGGAAATCCCTCTAAAGTGAGGGAATCCCTGTTTTGCCTTTAGTTATACTTGAAAGTTTATATGAAATAATAATAATTGGGTTTTTATATATTTACCCACAAATATGCAGAAAATGATAGCAGGGACAGAATCAAAATAATCAAATGCTTATAAAACAGCATCAACAAGCTGTACATTTGTTTCCAGGGAACTCATTTGAGTTCCCTGGAAAATGTAACCAAATGTATTATTAAGCTCAATTCAACATTCTAAAGGATATTTTTGTGTTAAAGTATGTATTCTAGAATTATTTTATTATATATTTTTAAAAATAGTTGTAAAGGTTCAGATTACTTCCATTTTATTGCCTTTTTTATATATTATTTCTGCACATTGTTTTACAAGTACTGTATGATTTATTTGCAATAATAATAAATACAGCACTGACTTGCAGTTATTAAATGCATGTTGCCATCTACTGGTAGGATGTACCTCTTTATACTCTACATTATACTGTATAGGACTTCATTCTTTGGGCCCCCTACTGCCATAAACAAGCTTCCTTTCTTTGCATTAGTCAGGATGGCAGTAAATATTCAAATCATTTCAATGCTAATGATTACATAGATTACTTGATTATCTGGTAACTACATATACGTTTTAGAAAGAGTTTTTAATTGAACAAATGATAAACAAAAAAAAAACAAAATAAGTGTAATGTATACATGTCAGAATAGAAAATAACATATTATGTATGTATTCACCCCAGTTAGGCTTTTCCATTTTCTGTTTAGTTGCATTACAGACTTGAATTAAATTGGATTAAAAAGGAATTGATTTAAATGTTATGACATGCATCTGTGCATATTAGTCCTAAAGTGGACGTAGCATCAAATATAGTATTTCCCTATGTAACTCTTGGCATTTTCTTTTTAGTTTTAGATAGAGTGGTCCTCTGTGAAGCTTTTATTGCTGTTTGTGTCCCCATTTATGAGCTTTGCCCCCCAGTTTGTACTGGAAACAATTGCCACCAAACTAAATACTCAATTGGAGAAGACCTAAGAGCACCATTTGTCAAGTTTATAGACTCAATAATGCTCAGCTGTGAAAAGCTTTACCATGTGACAGTGGAAAGCATGGCTTGATAATGCTTTAGCGTAGATTCCCTTTTGAAAACCTCCAAAAACTCCCATTTTGCTTTTGTAGTATATTTAAATAAGCAATATCGTCCTGTAAACCAGTGTTTCTTCACCTTTTTTCAGTCATGACACCCTCTAAAATGGACAGTCTTGAGGCACCCCATTCTAAATTGTAAGAAAAACTATTCTAATAGTTTCATGTAATGCAGCAAAATCCACACACGTAGGACACCCAACATTAGAGGGGATTTATTCTTCCAAAGCAAATACACTTTTACACACTGGTATTGACTAGTGTTCCAATGTTTCTCTTCTCCCTCAGTTTTTCTCCGTCACTGAGCTGATGTGACCCCAGCACTGACAGAGAGGGACAAGGAAGGGTCAAACAAGGATGCTGTGCAGGCAACCGACATACTCCTTATCAGCTGATGATATCATTAGTTGTCAGGTCACCGGCACCTACAATGTTGTAATGGTGTACAATGAAAACTTGTGGCTTTGTGTAACTAAAAGGAAGGCTTGTTCCACCCCATGGCTTGTATACAAGTTTTGGGCAATTTATAGGCATTTTGCCAAGGCACCCCTAAGGAAACCTTAAGGCACCCCAGGGTGCCTGGGCACCCTGCTTGAAAAAGGCTGTTCTAAACTCACTGGAAACTCACTGAACCTCAAAAGGAAAAATAAAATTTGTGCACATGATTATTTATCCCTTTATGATTATGGAGACATTTTGTTTTAATTGACGGTGATCAGATAGATTGACATGAGATGTCAGTTTCCTTATCCAGGTGTAAGAAACAATTTAATGGACAGGGGCCTATATACAGAAGATAACGCCATTTTAAGCACTAAATTTGCTTCCCTATCTGACAATCTGACACCGATTTTGTAGATACCTTTACCATAATTATTGTACTGTGCATGCAAGTCAATTTTGTAATTTTAATCTTTTAATTACCAATTTATACATAACAGAGAGTGGTTGATTTATTACCCCAGCGTGGTGTATGTGCAGCCTTATCCCCCTCTGCACTGTGTTATAATGCAATCGCTCCAGGCTCCAGCCAGTCGCCTTAGAAAGCATTGCTGTGCATGTCACAGTGTCACACT